TTATTTCAGATCACAATCTGACAGGAAAACTTACCAACTCAGACTTGGAGCTGGAAGGCACCGTTCTCCATCATTTTGTCCTTGGAAAGACCGCCCAGGTGGAAGGCGAAACCACTTATACTGGCTGTGACAACACACCAGCAGTGTCGTGGCGCACAAAATGATCTTCCACCTCTCGAAAGGCAAGAACAAGAATATTACGGTTAGCGGCAGGATTACAGCGGGAACAAAGAGCACATCATTGTATTGGGCACTTGAGCAATCGCCAAAAGTTATCCGACGAACAAAACGAAAATGAATATGATTGAAATGTATTGAAATGTATTGAAATACAATGCCATCAAACGTCATGAACGTAATAATGAACATAATCGTAAATGCGAAATGACATCAAATGTTATGAACATTATGATGAACGGTGCTGAGCAACACCAACAAAAAGTGTCACAAATGATGGTGCTGAGCAACATCAACGAAAACTGCCACGAATGGTGCTGAGCAACACCAACAAAAACTGCCACGAATGGTGCTGAACAACACCAACGAAAACTGTTACAAATTGTGCTGAACAACACCAATGAAAACTGTTACAAATAAAAGAAATGTGAACTAACAATTTGATGTATGACATTGATACAGGCAACATGGCCGCCGTTCCTCCTTTCTTCAATGTACATGACGACATGGTTATCTGTGGCATTGACAATGTCACCCTTTTCCAAGGACGCACATAAACCGAGAAAATTGCTTACAAAATATTCTCGGACGATTTCACCACAAAGATGGATAGCACCATTGACAAACTAAACAAAGAGTTCAAGACCCTCGCAGGATTGACGATTGCGCAAGGACAGATACGCTTGATGCCAGCTATCAACAAGAACATCCGTGCATTCATCCAATGGTGCAGAGACGAGATTCGCATGGGACGAGACCCTACCACAACACCATTTCCCATTGTTGATGCAGCCAAACTGCTCAGACGCATGAAAACACACGAGCAATACGTGTATGGCTCCAAGTTGATGTCGCAACAAGCGCTACCGCAAGATTTCACCAATGATGTCCAATGGGAAGATTGGTGCCCAACATTCGAAAATTACCTTTGCACCATACCAGGAAGAGACAGTGTGCCACTGAACTACATTGTGAGAATGAACGATGCAGGAATACTCACCCGCACGAGGATTTCTTGGAAATCTACATCAACATGGCACCACACATTGGCGAAGCATACGTCATGGATAACGCCAAAGTACTAGTCCTTCTAAGCAAGTTTATCGTGGGGAATACCGAAGCTGAAGCGACTCTCCAAGCCATCAACATTGCAGGCAATGGAAGAGAAGCATTCAACGCACTACGTACCCACTATGAAGGTGAAGGGATACTAGCCAGCGACATTGTCGAAGCTGAACACACCATCAAAGAACTGTGTTACATCGGTGAAAAACCAAAAATGAACTGGTCCATGTTTGAACGAATGCTAAAGAAAGCGTATGCAGCATGCAACAAACATGAGGGGAGAGAAGTCCATTCAGACGCAATGAAACTGCGTAGCCTACAAAGCAAGGTTACAGCACCATTTTACAACTGAACAAGACGGCAATTGATACGGAAATTGGCAAAAGACCGATGTTGATGACTTTCACGACGGCATTACAAATCTACCAAACTGCAGTGAGAGAAAAGTTTCCCCAAGGAACCAGCAATGCAACCGATAGGGGACGATACTTGAGCGAAACTAGAGCTGACAACAATCGCGACAGAAGCAGGAGCCGAAAGGATGGAGGAGGCAACAAACGTCGCGACGAAGAAGAAATTACTCTGAGTAATGGAGAGAAGATCTGGTACCATCCTAGCTACCGTTTCTCTCCAACACACCTACGAGCGTTTACCAATAAACAACGTGAACGCATGGCGAAGGAAAGAGCCGCATACTACTACAGAGAAAGTCAAGGATTGGTTAGAAAAAATTATTGCAGAAACGAAACAACACGCAATCCGGCAGAACCAACCAGTCTGCCTTGCGTAGCGCTAGTACTGAATTTACGTAGAAAACTTCCGAATTTATCACCAAGCCAACCATTCAACACCGGCGCACCATGG